GTACATCGTAGGTACATATCGTTTTTCCCCTTTTAAAAGATAAGTGCACTCTAGCCGCGTAACTGTAGTTTGAAAGTCTAATTTCTTGTCAATATAAAAATTTTAATATATTTGCATCAACTAAAAAGATTTACCACTATATACCTACATTATTTATGAATAAAACAAAATTTTCCGGCCAATTTTAAAGCTCAAGAGTTTCTAATAATATTCATAAGATTCAATTGAATATTCGTTAGATTCACGTCTACTGTTATTATTTATAAATATTTTTGTTTTTTTTTCTTTTATAAAAACCATTTTCCTGTAAAAGTAAGTTGCGAGTAACCACAGTTTTAATCGGCCACCAGGGACACCGTTGGCTATTGGAATTCCTCTGGGATTTATTTCCCAGCGACTCGGCAGCACATATGCGTGCTACCGGGATTGATTTGTTCGGGGATCACGCGCATTCATTGTTCTCTCGTGTCCTGCAGAATATTGAGTGTGGGAGAGATAAAAAAAAACATGAGCAATTCAAAGATATCTATTTTCCTATATACCATATGTATCGGGATTTCCTTCACTCTATAAAAAAAAAAAACAAGAATAAATACAAAAAACGACAATTTGTATTGTTTTTATCTCGATTGACTGGTCGTCAGGATACCTCTACACTAATTGGCTTTGCATTCATGACTTTTTTCTTTATTTAAATTCGTTAGTTTTTCGTGTATCCGAATCAATTGCCACTTTCAATCATGAATTTATACTTAATAAAGATTAATATTGAGTTTGCCTATCTGAATTCTCAACTCTCAGAGAATGTTGATTAAGTTTTCGTATTTTTTCACTTGTATTTATTTGATACATATACTTCTTTAAAAATATAATTTATGAAGCTAATGGATTAAAATGAATTCCAAACAGTTTATGTTTATTAATTGTTGTGAAAAAAGCATTTAAATTTATTTTTATGATAAAATATTCAATTCCGTCATTAAAAAACTTGAATTAAAATTTTAAACAATAATGCATTCATCATTTTTTATTTAAAGTTTAATGAGTGATGAAGAGGTTGATTGTACATTAAAACAAAAGTAATAGTCAATAATAATAAAGTAACAATAATAAAGTTTTTAAAAAATATGAAATATTGAGCTCAATTTGAAATATTTTTATTATAAAAATTTTTCCTTCTAATTAAATTAAGTCTTCTATTTAAGTATTGTGAGATAAAAGTTAAAAAATAATCAATTTCACTAAAAGTTAATTTTTGAAGTGAATAATTGATTTTTTAGTTGAAGCGTGAAGAATATTTTAATGTCTGAAAAGTAGTTAAATAGTCAGGATTTAATTGTCATGTTTGAATTAAAGATATTTTGACTTTGAGTAAAGCTATTGCATTTTTAAATAATCGTAATGACGTCTGACAAACTTTAACAACCGTATGTGATAAATCCTATCTATTAAAACTCATGACTTACTGTCAGACAAAGAGATACAATTACAAAAATCGTTCGTTCGAATATAATTAAATGTATATAATATTTGTTTTTTATAAAATCATAGAGAGTACAATTCAATAATGATAATAACAAAAAAGAATTTTTTAAATTACCGTAACAAATACCAAAAAATAATAATTAAAGAATACAAAATTAAATCTACCAATCAGAAAAGCGTAACCATTTTATTCGTGCGTTGATTAGTCAATTTTATTTTTAAATTTTCGCAATAAATAAAGATAAAAATTAAATAATGTTTTACGCTGTTAACTTGCGCGTTGTATTTCTAGTAATTACTTCAAAATATAATTTTAATTGAGTAATGTAAATTTTTTACTAAATAGAAATTGTGTAGATAGTAGAATTAAAGTTAAACAGTTAAAAGCATTTAGAAAATTCGATCAATAAAATCTCATCAAAAAAAAAATCCGTGTAAAATATTTTCCTTCATGAAAGAATGACAACTATTTATCCACAATATTATTTATGGTTAAGTCGTATTTAAAGGTAAATTCAATGGTAGAGGAAAAAAAATGATTGTTGTATTGAACTAGAGTTTCATCCAAATTTAAATTCCTTCTAAAAAGCTTAAAATTCTTGCATTAGATATAAATAACCTTTTCAGGCTAAAATTAATCTAACAATAAAAGAAGATATATAATAATTTATTGCGTCATTAGTTACTGTAAATAAAGAATATTTTGTCTTAATAAATGATGGTCAACCTACTTACAACTGAAGTGAGCTTAAAATTATTAATCTTTCTATTTGAGACTAATGATATTATGTTAAATCTTGAACTATAGCCTTCTTATAAGATTCATTCACTAAGAAATCGTTAGGTAAGAATATTTGGATTTGAATAATTTGAGAGCAAAGTTGGAAAGATGTTACCGATGACTTAATTAGAGAGGTAAAAATTTCTTCTCTAAAGAATCAAATTTGTTGAACTTGAAATCATTTTTATCTTTCTGAAGAGAAATTTTTACTTCAAATTGGATTATTTTTATCACATTACCAACTTTTTTTTTAAATCATTAAAACCAAAATAATGTTTTCTTGATTTTTTAATTAAATATTAATCAATATTTTTTTCAATGTACATGAAGTTAATTCTGAATTATGAAAATATTTCTAATCAATTGTCAATACCATGTCATCCATACACTATTCATACAGTGTATCAACCAACAACCTATGAATATCCAGTTTACCTTTTAATTAAAAAAAATCTAGATGTCTCAACAAACAATAACTCTTTTCAACTAATCCAACCAATCATACAAAAAAACTAGAACCTCTCGAACAATAATTAACAACTATTTCCAGTGAATACAATGTGATAAAACATGGTGAACATTTCGTTTGTTTTTTCTGTATATTTTGTCATGTATGACACAACAACATATAAATCAAACTGCGTCAAAAAAAAGGTGTTGAATAGCGTTAGTCTGACCTGTTAAAAGTCTACCCCTAGTTTTACTTTACTTACAAAAAAAAGTACATCAACCAATTTTAGATAGCATCTAATCAAAAATGGCAGTGTTAACAAGCTAAAATATCCAATCTTCATTAAGGTTGTAAAGTAATATAATAATCAATACCTATTGTGGTATATACACATTATTACGCATCATCAGGCCGTAGGGGGTTGTTATTTGGAAGTACGCGAATTGAGGTTGTCTCTGAGTACTGTTAGGATCGTTGATGATACCGTAGTTATATGGAATTTTCGGTTAGAGTGCCGTTGAAATTTCGATATGGAATTTCATAGTAAGAGTATATAGTCTATCACAGTACATCGTTCGGCAAGTATTTCAGGGATGAGTGTCGCATAATTAACGGTGTTAACTCTCTGTCAACGATACGGCAATCCATGATATAGCACGATGAAGACGCGCGTGAAACCTTCATGTTATAATTTGATGCCACCCAAGAGGAAGGAAAGTTTGACTTAACGAGAAAGACGAACATATTTCAGTCTCTCGAATACACTATTTTTGACTCATCAGATGCAGACTTTTTACAGAGAGATGACAGAATGAATGAATGAAGAATAGATTAAACGGTCTTATCATCATATTCCATGGAAACTTTTTTTATTCGACATTTTGCCATTATTCTTTTCGTGCCGACAACACATTGATATACAAAGTTAAACGGCTACAATATAGTTATATATAGCGGCACGGTGGATTGAGAAAGATCCATATCTAAAACGGAAGTCATGAGGGGGCTGGATAATGACGCTTGACAACACAGAATTTCTGACCTCATCGAAGCCAAGAGTTAGCTTCACATTATCTCTATGCTCCATTGTCTCATGATCACGTTCTCCGGACGTAATCCCAGGATATTCGAGAGCTTTACCCCTGAGCGAAATACTCGGCCGCAGGATGGGTATTCGACTGGAATTTACTGATATCGCGTGCGCTAACAGTAACAGAGTTTCGCTTTGGGACGTGAGATGTGAAATTACCAATTCTTGATAACATAATACTAAGATTGTCCAAACTATTCTGTACGCAGTCTATTTCTAATTACTATTCTGTCTAAAAGTATTTCCTTTTTTTTCCGCCTTTAAAGTGCATATTTTTTTCTTTTTCTCTTCCTGTAAAAAAGAAAGTGCATTTATTTTTTTCTTCTTTGAATTAATTAACCCGAGGGTAATAAGATTTAGCTTATTTTAAATTCATTTATTACACTAAATTTGAATATTAGATCAAATCAACATTTTCTTAATACGTAGAAAAAAATTTTTATCATAAAATACAAGATTCAATTAATATTAACAAATTAACAATATTTTATCGCGCAAAACTTTTTTTTCAAGAATGTTGTTTGCGTTTAAAGAAATAAATAACTTTTTTTGTAATGATTGTATTGCACTTATAAAAATAATGTCGAAAGATTGTTTTAAAGTTACGTGAGAAAGTTGTGCGATTGTTATATAAGTTAAATAAACATTTTCACTTGAATTTTTAATAAAATTTCTAATGCATTTAACGCCATCATAAGATACATATCGTTCACATGCGATTTCCTTTCGTAAAATTGATGAGGAATTAACCTGAGTAGATAATTATGTATGTATTTAAAATTCAACAGTGGCATGTAATCATTAAAACATTGCTAGTTTAGATTAAAAAATACTGTAACATTAAATAAATGCAACTGTTATTTCTAATACGTGCTAAAACTTAAATAAATACATAATTTCATTTCATTTAAATAATTAATAACAGTTGTTATTGCAATAGAAAATTAAATAAAAAATTTTTTAAAGAATATTAATATTGCAAAATTACGTTTAAAAACTATAATTTCACTCAAAAAATTTAGAATAAATTCATGTTTTATTTTATTTCAATTAATAATTGCTTTGATAGATTTTAATTAATGTTTCTCTCGGGATATTACGTTTCATTATTTTAGTTATTATTATCAAAGCTTTTGTTTTTTTTTTTATATCTGTTCAGTGACGAGAAATCAAATTTCACGTCGTATCGTTTTTGTTATCGAGCAGCAAATTCACGGCAATGGGAGTCTACCATAATAAAAAAATATTTGAAAAAAAGTTTATAAAAAATTGTTAAAATTACCAGTTTGATCTTAATAAATATTTAAATTAAAAATTTTCCAATAATAATTACACAATGGTGCGATCAGCTAATAATAATAATTATAATAACCAAGTTGTGAAAAAATTATCAAGGCCTGCTCGAAATATCAACTTAGTCTTGAAAGCAATGCGGAATTTGAGTAATCCAAATGGTAGTCCAGTTGGGAAGATTGTGCAATATATTTCCGCAACAGCTGATAAACCAGCATCGAAACGTCAGGTAATGTTGCTATATTTCAAAATATCTTGAAAAACAGATATTTTTATGCAATTATGTCATGGAAATATTTGATTATTTTTATCACCTAAAATGAATATTTCAATGAATTGAATTAAAATTGTAAAACATTGCAACTTGCAGATACTCGTGGCATTAAAACGTGGAGTAGAATTTGGTTTAATGGACAGAAGAAGCGGGCGTTACTTCATCCCAAAAGATGAGAAACGACATTTACGTCTATCACAACAACAGAATCATGGAGTAAGAAGAGAATCGTCAGAGCTACTTGAACGTGATCTTCGTATTCGATCCAGAAATCCTGATGGAAGGAAAGAAGCTCGAGAAAGTAGATCCAAGGATCCTCCACGCCGAAGAAAAAAGAAAAGCAGTAGGAAGTCTGGACGTAAATCTGTCAAGAAGACAAGATTTGCAAGATCGTTGAAGTCTTACGAGCTGTCAGACTGCTATAAAAATCCTAACTACAAAGCTTCTGCTGTTTCGTCTATCGATTCACTAGAGTATTGGCATTGACTCCCTTTGCCTGAAATCTAAATTTCTACGTTTTTTCAATTAAAAAAATTTACTGTGTCATAAAAACTTTTAATTTGAATAATAAATACGAAACTACTCGGTTCAAATATTTATCTATTTTTATTTTCGGTATCTAATTGCAAGTTAAAACATATCATTTGATTTTAAAATCATTCTTGGTATAATTGTTATAAATAATCAAATTTCTACAGATCAAGAGATAAATTCTAATAAGTTTTAAAAATAATCAAATGTCAAAATTTAATTAAATACTTGCTCAATTTCAGGGAGTTTTACACCATTATTAATTTAATTAAATATTTAAAAAATTGATTTTATATTTTTATTTGATTATGATAAAATTTTGTGATTAGAATTGAAAAATTGTTTGTTAAAGAAATATCAATTTGATTATTTTTCGTTACATTTACGAATCGTAAAAATAATAAATTTTTTAAATAACTTTTTTATATATCATGAATTTTCAATAGTAAGATTCTATAAATTCCGTGAGTAATCAAATATTGATAGTTTTCTAAAAAAGCTTTTTTATTCTATTCGAAATTATTTATAGTATTATTTCTCTGTAAGGGAGTTATAGCTAAAAAGATAAAACGTTCTATTAATATGAGCTGATAATATTTTATTATTGAATTCATTTACTTTTTATATTTGATCGATTTCTCAAAGTAAGTTTCAATAAATTTTTTAAACCTATCTAAAATTTACAGCTACCGTAATAAATACATATTTTTTAAATTACTCAATCTATATTGTGCATGGGTGAACTATTGATAAAAAAATATCAAATGTTTTATTGACAATATTTAGGTAGTTGTTTAGTTTGTTCATGTATTCATTTTTACCAAAAAATGAAAACAATCGTTATAACATTTATTACTAAACGATATACCGTCTAAATAAATTTTCTCATCGATAAAATCCATTGTAAAAAAAATCGGTTATTCCTTTTTTGTTTATTTCATCATTCCATCATAGATGTAAAACGACTCTGAAAATTTAACAAATGCCATGAAACATCGAAATCTCATTAAAGTATTGTGAATGATACATTATACTTTCCGTATTAAATAAATGATTGACAATAGTGTGAAACATTATTGAAAATTTTTATGTGAAAGATAGGTATTTTTATTCATTATAAAGAAACTTTTTATTAAAGTATACTGCAATAAAAGCAATAATAAATGGAAAACCATTAAAAAGTAACTCGTCAAGACATTTTAAGTTATAGAGTAACTGTAACTAAAAGTCATCAACTAGCGTTGTAAATAGTTTTCTATTTTTGCGATCAGTAATAGTTACTCGGAAGAAGCAATTTACCATTTATCATCGAGGTCTCTCGTGACACGAGAAAGTAGACAAGAATGCAATAGGAAATATCAAGAACTACGGAGAAGAAGAGAAGAACGAGTTTACAAGAACGTGACGACACCCGCACGGCTCATTGATACTACTAATGTAGGTCGCAGCATTGCCAACTTGAACCGTTATGCAAGCTCATGATGACGTTACAAAGCCCGCATGTCCTCCTAGGTTTAATGAGATCTAACATTGGGGAATAATCACCCCTGTAATCGTAGAAGCTTTCTCTTAAAATTTCTCTCAAACAAAATCAAAATGCACGAGCTAAAAGTTTCATAGTAATAAAAGCTTTTTGTAGCACTGAGGTAATTTAATTCGTTATTAATTTCAACTCCTGTAATTACAATTTACGAGTTAAGTAAAACACAATAACAGTTTGAAGATAATTAAACTGCAATCGTCTGAGTGCAATAGAAGACTTTATTGAATACTCAATGACACGGGCATTCGCACGCGAGCTTTCAAGCTCATATACACGTTCCATCGATCCATTCTCATCGGGGTCAGGGGATCCATGAGCTTTCACAAACGTCTGGTCAATGATTCTACTATACATAGCAACCTGCTATGTAATGATACCACTAAATATATATATGATTAACTTGAAAGCTTTGATAGGCATCTCAGGTGTATCATTTTGTTTCAATTTCAACCAAAAGTACCTTTTTCCCTAAAATTATTTTCATTTTACATCAGATCGTTTGATAAATTTGTAATAAAAGTTTTTCATTTTAGATTTAAATTAGAAAATTATTTTTAATATGATTGATGTTTTAGCAAAGTTGCTGATGTACGTCTTGATTAGAGCAACCTAAAAATGTCTATTGTTTACCAAGTTTATTGCCCAACTTTGCATCTATGTGTAAAAGTATTCAAAATTAATGAAAGAAATATTTGAGATTTGTTGTAGATCATGAGTTAATTAGCATATTTATAAATAATGTAGTTTGTTTTTTTTCTTATTAATTATTTCGAATTATGGTGAAATAGTTGAAAAGGACAGGGATGAGTGGTTTGAATGAAAGAATGTTTTTTTTTTTGGTTGAGCAAACGTATTTTTTAATTAAATTGTACTGTAATAGTATTGCACCTTATTTCTTTACGTATTTAAATGTGAATACTTTTACTACAACACAATAAAGAAGAAAGCGAAGAATTTTATTTATGAAATTTTTTTTTATTTTATAAATAATATAAAATTCTGTTGCAATTTTTAACAAAAGATATAGTGGCTTCTTTACAAGCTCAAATATATTTGAACAATTTAAAGAGAATTTTTCATAAGTTGAAGTACTTTTGAATTTGAGAAAAAGTGTTTAAGTGAATGATTGATCGACTCATTAACACTTTTCATAGATTTTGCGATAAAATAGTTCTCAGTCTTTTCACGAATACATACTGACTTATCGTGGTAATTTTATAGTATAAATAAATTAAATATTTAAAGAAGAAAAAAGTTTGCTAAATAGCCCATTAATTCTGTTAATTATACAGACATAATGGTTAACATTCAAGTTTAACTATCAACAAACAGTTTTTAATTATCATTGAATCTTTTTCTTGGTCTGCGATAATTGAAATTTGTCTTATCATCATTAAATAAATGAATTCGTTAAAATTTCATTAATCTCATGTTGCAATTAAATCAGTATCAATTGAATCTATAATCCGTTATCTATGGCTAAATTTAACAATTGATATATAAATAATATACAGAAAGCTTTAGATAATAATTTTAACCTGGATTCCACCTCAATAATTATATTTGCTGAAAATGTTCAATGTTAATTTTGTATTTTATATGTCGATCTTGTAAATTTACCCATGTCAGCGTCTATTTCTGCTTCAAATATTACGTATGTACATATATTCGTCATCGCCTGATATTACTACAAAGCTAAGTTGATTGAGCAATAACAATGGTTTTAAATTCTTTGTATATATTCTGATGTGGTGTATAAAAACTCCACATATTTTTAACGTTATAATTCTGTTCTCGTAATTTACGAATAAAAGTGCATTCTTTTTGTGTGTCATAAATAACTAGAAAACACAAAGATATGGAAAGTCGAGGTCAAAGTGCATCGTACTTGCTCTCCGAGTTTTTGATCTATATATCTATATTTTTATACTATTTGTAGGTGACAAACAATACATAAAAATTACTCGCAATTGAATATCTTTTGTTTCTTTGAATATAAAATTGGTCTTGAATTTTCAAAAGAAAGTTATTGTATTTGTTATGAAAATAAAATTTACAAATATCAAAATATCGTCAGGTATTGAAGAGTTATATTCAGTTGTTGTCAAGTAGTTGCATGTACATACATATGTAAATAAATATACACATAAAAGATAAATCTGAAACTATTATCGTTATAACTGAACAAATTTTACAATGGGACGTAAAATTGTAATAATTACATCTTTTGAATATAAAACTCATTGAAATGTTTATTTAACCAGGAAAAATTACCATGAATTATGTTTATATAACAATGTTTGATTGCAAAGTACTCAGTTACATTTAAAATTGTAATAGTTACACAACTTATTTTTCCGTAATACACACTTTTTTTCGGAATAGTAATTTAAGAACGAGTTGAATTTTGTAAAAAAATTTTCCAATTCATTATATAATGGCAATAGTGTGACACTACCTGTAAATCTAAGTGCATTCTTATTACACATATAAACGTGTTTAATATGACGTCACTCATTTGATTAACATTGTCGTCACTTTTAATGCGTTTCTAAATGTGTAAAAAAGGACTACAATGCTAATCAAATGGATGACGTCATATTTAACTCGTTTAGATGTGTAATAAAAATGCACTTGGATTTACAGTGTATACTGCAAGTTTGAGATATCTAGAAATAACCCGCCTAAAGTGTGTTTACTGATGCATCATCATACATAAATCATGCCACTGTGTAGTCATTTCTAAATCATTTCAAAGTGTATTAAAATCTTTGATTAGTTTGTAACAATTGTTTGGAATTATTATAATTATTAATTACTTGAAGCTTCGCTAATTAAAATTTTTGTCTTGTCAATAAAATTTCTCAATTTTTTGTTGTTAAAATAAAAGCTGAAAACCAGAATCATCTTTCCACTTGATTAATGTTATAATTCAAATTTTAATTAATGAAAAATACTTGATATTATCATAAAAAATCACTGTTGAACTACAATCTGTTAAGCTAATTTGTCAATTTCCTTAAAAATTCTTTTTTTTTTTAAACTCATTGGTAAAATATCAAAAAAGAGAATTTTACATACGTATGTATACCCGAACTACTCTCATTCCATTGTTCGAAAAAAAACCGCATTCATGTATACGGAAATGCACAGAATTTCACGCTGCGAATTCTAAACTGAATAAAAATTTCCTTCTCTTGTTAACTTTTTTACTCTAATGGTCAGATATCATTAATAACGACTAATAATTGTTGTAAATAACTGAATACTGTATAATTTGATAACGATGGAATGTTGTTAATAACAGTGCAATATACATATGTTATTGAGAAGTTAATCATGTAGACCCTCAGGGTCGCACTTATATTCAACCGTATTTTCTTAGACATCACTTCTACACACCCCAAGATACTTATACTATTGATAAATGTTAATCTTGAATAAAAGAATTATTTTTGTTTCAGAAAAATGGCTACCCACAAAAGTAGTAAAGAAAACTAGTTCCAAACCGAAACAT